AAGTGACTTAACCAAGATCACATAGCCAGTCAGAGGCGGAACCAAGATTCAGATCTGAATTATTACCCCAAGCGAGGCCCTCATTCCACCACATTGGTGGGTCACAAATTTTACTGTATAAGAATCTCCTGAAGAATTGTTAGAAATGCAGATTGTAGGCTCTCATCCCCAGAGACTCTGGTTCATTCTTTCTAGGGTGTGGCTCAGGACTATGCAAGAATCAGAGGACCATTTGGGTGCAAGTGGCAGAAATCCAATTCAAATTGGCTTAGGCAAAATTGAGAATTTATTTACTCATGAACTGGAAAAGTCCTGCGGTTGAAAAGCTTCAAGCATAGCTGGATCCAGGCGTTCAAACAAGTCTTCAGGAATCACTTTGTCTCCATTGCTCAGCAATCTGCCCTCCATCTTTCGTGATGTCAGGATGACTCTCAAGAGCTCCAGGTTCCTACATCTACAGCTACATCTCTATCAACAACAAAGAGAATGTGTTTTCCCTAATTTTTCCAGCAAAATCCCAGGGTAGAATCTGATTGCCCCAGCTGCAATCACATACATGCCAACAGCTAAAGCAACCACTGCTGGTTGCCAGGGGGACATGGAATTCTTTGATGTCAGGGCCTGTATGAAGTTGTCAATCCCTGAAACCCTATGCGCTGAGTGGGAGAAGGCTGGTTTCCTCAGGAAAATCCATGTGCTGTTACCAGAAGAGGGATGGTTACTAAGGAAGCAAGCACAAAGGATGTTCCCTGCATGGGTGCTTCCCAGCTAGAATGAGCGCAAGAATCACATTCTGGTCTGGGAGGTTGGGCCTAAGATTCTGCATTTCTAACAGCTCCTGTATGATGATGATGCTGGTCCTCATGCTGGTCACACTCAGAGTAGCCAGGCACTCTGTTACATTTCTAAAGTCACTTCAAGCCACCCTGCCACAGGGCTTTTGCAGTCTCCAGCATACTGAGAGGTCCTGGGCCATGTAAACCTCTTCCCTCATCCCATCTCTACCCGCGCCCCATCCCATGGTTCCCCCAACCCACCCAAACATCAGCCCCATCTATTTGGGAACCACTCATCAACATATTGCAGATTCTGTTCCCATATCACAGTTGGAGAAACTGTCCACTGTGTCCTTCAGTGACCTTTATATGAGGATCCACGTAATAAATTCTCTTTATTGAGTACTCAAAAAATACTTGTTTCTATTAAAAAATTGCCATGCTTCCTGGGATTTTATGGTGACAATGTACAAGTTCCCATATTTATCTTGGTTACTAGGAAGCTCAGAGATAAATCTAGTACCCAGTGGCAATAGCGGTCACACCCTAGGCTTCTGGTTCAGTAATCTTTCCTTTCTGAATGGCATAGCATAACCCTTCATGAGCCTTGAAGTGCTCTGTACATGGTTTAATATTATAAGCTCCCTCAAATCCTTTTTGGAAGTCAGTTCTTCTTTGGATCATTCTTGACTTTCCCCAAATTTTTATTGAAATCCTCCCTGTTCTTCAAAATCCAACTTTGTCATCCTACTGCTCAGTTATTATAAACATGTTGTTTTTCTATGAACATACTAAACATACACGTTAGTGGCAGAACCAGGATATAACTATACTTTACAAAAATGGCTCGATACTATATGTTTTGTAGTTTGCTGTTTTCATTCACTAAGTATCTTAGCAATCTTTGCATGGCTCTGACTGTGCCAATCCCTGCCAGCTTCTTTATATGTGACTTGGGAATGTAATTATCTATGTCCAGTCTTCCCTTCTCAACTCTGTCCTGGAGCACGACCCATGTCCTGACACCTTTATGTTGGAGCAACTACATAGAGCACAGGCTCTGGGCATGCATTTTCCTACTAACCATGCATTATGCTCCTGCTGTGTGCCAGGGAGTCGCTGAGCTAAGTGCTGAAGGACACAGACATGGGAAAGACCAGCCTCTGCTGTGTGCAAGGATGGAAATATTCTATATCTGTACCTTGATGACAGTAGCTTTAGCCACAGATAGCAATTGAGCACCTGAAACATGGCGAGTCCTTACTGAGATGTGCTGTATGTGTAAAATACATACTGAGATTCAAAGATTTAGCATGAAAAAAAGAATGTAAATTATTTCACTGATAATGTTTATATTGATTACCCATTAATAAGACTTTCGAAACATTGGGGAAAATAAATATACCTGAAAATTAATTCACTCGTTTCTTTTTACTTTGAAAAATGTGGCTATAGAGAATTTTAAACTGTATACGTGGCCCACATTACATTTCTAGTTGAGCAGTCATGCACCATGGAGGTGGAATGGTTCTCTTGGTTCAGGAGGACAATCACATTTTATGCCAATTGGACTCCTGCAGGTATATCACTTTTTTAAAAAATCACACTTTATTGTGCAAAAATTGAACCAATGAGAATTCCCTATTTTAAAAAGTTAACTTCTCTAGTGTTGTGGTATCTCTAAACCTGTGGGCTAAAGGAATTGCAATTTGGGCTTGCTTTATGCTCCAGGACAGGGCCATACTTGCTAGTAAACAGAGATGGTTATGGTTAACGTTTCTGAGCCCTACTGTGTGCCAGATACCTTTACACTTATAACTCGGTGCTCACCACCATCCTTACCATTTTCTGAGGTAAAACCCCACCATCCTTTCTCAGAGACGGCCTTGAATCACACATGAACACAGTGCCTTCAGAGGCCCATCCCTCAGGACCTTGTGACTGTCTTGAATATGTAAATTGTGACGTAAATGATCCTTGATAGGTGCTCAGAGAGGTGGAGGGAGCTGCCTCACATCACACAGCAGTGCTCTCCCCAGAACGCCCTCTTATTGATCAAAACATATGAAATGTAATATGTTATGTTCTACAAAACCACATAATACGCTGTTTTATTTCCCAGAACTGTGATACATATTTATCACAAATCAAAGAGAGGTGTTGGTTTCTGTTTTAAATGCATACAAATACAGGTGGAGCATTTGAGATCTTGCTCCCAACATAGTTCTTCAGTTTGGCTCGAATAAACCCTATTAAAAAAATTTTTAATGTATACAAGTACATTATAAAGCAGTGATTAATTGTGATAATTTTTCAAATCGATGATCCAGAACTTCAGGAGTCTTGCCTTTTGTCAGGTTCCTCACAAAAGGCAAATGAGGCAGAAACCACTTAGGTCTTGAGGTGGTAAATAGTTCCCAATTCCCACCAGGACAGAAACATCCTTGTAAATAACATTTTTTTTTAAATTGTTTTAATCACTTCCTTAAGCCTAAGAATTTGGGATTTTTTTTTCTTAAACCACTAACACATGTTTATTTTAACAAGCTAAGTATAAATGAGCTCTGTTTTAGAAGAAAATTTCAATTGCACAGATGAGGAAAACAATTACTTCCTTATGGGGCTGCTCATAGCCTGTCTCCTTCACAAATACATGTATGCATTTAGAGAAAAGAAATGAAATACTTCTGCCACTTTTACAAATAAGTTTTGACTCTGATCAGGTAAATGTATTTTCTCTAAGTATCTTTAAATTTAATTAATCCATCAGCACGGTCTGTAGCTCTACCTCCAAAATGGCCCCTGAATCTGTCTGCTTCTTACCTCAATAGCCACCACCCTGGGTCAGGCCACCATCATCCCATGCCTGGACGACTGCAGTGGACAGGGTTCCCTGCCCTGCTCCTGACAGTCTATCCTCAACCCAGCAGCCAGTGGGGTTATTTAAGCTGAATCTCATCATTCTACTGCCTAAAACTTTCCATGGTTTGCCATCATCCTTAGAATCAAATCCAAACTCCTCACTGGCTGTACAAGATGTGGCAGCCTCTGTCATATACCATCCTCTCCTCTGCCTATGATCTCTAGCCACACTGGCCTCCTTTCGGTGCCTCATTCTCTCAAAGCACATTCCAGCCTCAGGACCTTTGCACTTGCTGTTCCATCTGCCTGGAACACTGTTCCCTCAGAGTGTTATATGACTGGCTCCTTTGTATCATTCAGGCTCCAGGTCTAACATCACCTTTTCAGAGAGGCCTTCCCTGACCACCTTGTCTATAGGGGACCCACAGAGATGTTCCCTATCACATCCTCTTATTGTCCTCACACTCTCCAGTATCTAAATTTATCTCGTTATTTATTAATTTGCCTGTTTATTGCCTGTGTCTCCCCTTCGTCTTCAGTGTATGCTCTGTAAGGGCATGAACTTGCTTGTCTTATTTGTGGTTTAGAAAGGTGCTCGACACATGTTTGCTGAGTAAATGGAAGAATGAATGACCAAATAAATCTAAGAGAGAAAGAAGGGAAGGAGGAAGAGAGAGAGAGAGAGAGCTGTTATAAGGCAATTATAAAATGATAGGAGGAATATGGTGTTTGACTATTATTTAGCTAGACTGTTTAACCTCATCTTTGTCATTCAATATAAAATGGTAATTTATTCTTACATTACAGTTTTACTTTACTGTTTGCTCTGAGCCTGACACTGAGCTGAGTATCTCCCCACCTACATGCTTTCCCTTATGCTTCCAACACCCTGCAAGTAGGTTATTATCCCCCATTCCGCTGATGAGGAACTGAGACGAGGAGGAGGGGGAGTGATGAGTGAGGTGCTGGGAGGGAGACTAAGTGTCAGCTCAGGCTTCTGACCACTGAGCCAGCTGTGCCCACCACCCACTCTGCTCCCCAGCTCTACCTTTTGAATTTCGATGGTCCTCATGATTTACTCTCTAAATAAACTCCCCATGGCAGAGTCCTCGGTAATATGACTATCACAACTTGTCAGCTCTGTGTGGTGCATGGCCGACAGGGACGTGGGGAAGCCCAGAGGTGACAAGGGCAGGGTGAGCTCCATTTGTTGAGGATGGAGGAATGGGGTTGACAGGGGAGGTGAGATGGGGAAAGAGAGGGGGATGCAGCCGGGGGCAGGAGGCCTAGAATCTAGCATCGAAGACTCCCCTGCATGGGGTTCAGGGCCAGCCAGGCTCACCTCCCTTCTCTCTGCCACAGGATGGGGTGTGTGAAGTCCAAGTTCCTTCGAGACAGAGGCAAGGTCTCAAAAACCGAGCCCAGTGCCAACACACACAGCGCCGTGTATGTGCCAGATCCCACATCTTCAGGCAAGCGGGTGAGTGGGAGAAGAAGCGGGGGAGAGGGGAGGGCAGTCCTGAGGCCAGGGGCAGGGGATGGGGAGCTGCCCCTTGCTGCCCCAAATTGCCCTAACAGCCTCCTGTTTTCCCAAGGGTAAGCAGGTGCGTTTGGAGTAAAATGGAGCTGACCAGTCACCAGCAGCACCTTAACTCTCCAGGGTGCATCTGCACTGAGCACCCAGGGCAAAGGACGTCCCTTCTCCTTGTCCTGTTGCCCAGGCCTTGGCAGGCCTTGGCCCATCAGCCTGGGCTGCAGTGACCAGGTCCCAGTGAGCACGACAGGCTTCCAGCCTGGGCAGTAGCAGAAGCAGGGCTGAGAGTAATGGGTGACCAGATGAGTAACAACAGTAGTTGAAGAAACAACAGTAATGAGGATAGTACCAGCGTCATAGCAATAACTGTAATCACAATTGTAGTTGGAACAGTGACGACAATGCTGGGGGGAGTACCGCAGCAGCAGCAGCAGGAGCCATAGTGGAAATGGTAAATAAGAAGTGGTGATACTGGTAGAGGTGTTTACTTATTTGTCTTTACTTGCACAGAGCTTACCAAGGGCTCTCCTAAGTGCTTTGCAGTTATCAGCACCTCGAATCCTCACAATAATCCTATTGTTGGTCATGATTCTTATTGTACCCATTATAGATTAAGAAGCAGAGAGATAAAATAACTTGCCAAAGGCCACACGGTTAGTAAGGGGCAGAGCCAGGATTCAAACTCGGGCAGTGCATGTTCCAAAGTACCAGAGGCAGGAGCAAGAGTAATAGGCAGGGGCCGAATGCAGAGATCAGAAGGGCAGTAATGGTGGCAACAGTGATGGTAATGGTGGCTGCAGTAGTCATGGCAGCAAGCAGCACCACTAATAATGGGAGCTGTGATAGTGGCAGATAGTGGGAGAGCAGTAACAGTAGTAACAGTGGGGGTAACAATAACAGTACCAGTACTAGAGCAGTAGTAACAGTGGGGGTAACAATAACAGTACCAGTACTAGTGCAGTACTAATAGCAGCAGTAACAGTTGTAATCATTGTTACCATTCTTTGAACACCTACTATGTTCCAGGTGCTGGAGTGAAGTGTTTTGACACCATTAAACCTCACCAAAAGCTGTGAGGCAAGAGTTCTGCCACTTTCCAGCCAGGGTGACTAAGGCTCAAAGAGGTTAAACGGCTCCCTGGGGTCACACAGCTGGGAAGCAGCAGAGCCAGGTCTTTCTATCCCCGCTGCTGGGTTCTCTCCCCTCTGGGGGCCTTGAGTCCATGCTCCAATCCGGAGCTGTCCAGGGAAGCACAGCCTCTGTTTGCTGCCTCCAAGGAGTGTACTCCTTGATGCCCCTTAGAAAGTTCTTCCTCGTACTGAAGGAAGGCCTGTTACTCCATAACCCTTACTCCTTTCTTTGTTCCCAAACTGACCCCTTAGCCCTGCCCTCAAACACTTCTACTCTCTTTGCCTCATGACAGCCTGTAGAGATTGAAGAGAAAGATCTTGTCTCAACCCACCCATTTCTTCTAAATCATCTTGCTCATAACATAGGTTTCTGACCTCTCTTCAGCCTGCTTGCCCTTTTCCAGGCACGATATCTAGAACAGGACTAATTCTGAAAATGGGAGAATAGTGAAATAGTCACCTCCCTCCCTCTGACACTCGACCTCTATTAATACAGCCTGAGATTACATGACCTTCTCACACAGGTGATGTCCTGAGCTGACACCCTAAACCCTCAGTCACTCCTGGTTCTGCTTTTCTCCTAATCTGTGTCCTTTCTGTGGCTCAGGCTCCAGGTTCTCAGGTTCTCTGAGGACCTCTAGCTTGTCACCAGCAGGAGGCAGAGGGTTTTCTCCCATCGGTTTTTGGTTGTCCTCTCTGAGCATTAGATTTAAGGGATTCTATATTCAGCCATTCATTATTCCCCTCCTGCAGGACACTAGTTCGACAGTAAGTTTCTAAGTGTTACTCAGAGAAAGGGTTCACCAAGTTTGTGAAACTCTGGGCAAAACAGGCTTCTCCCGCGAGGACACCTCCGAGCCTTTGCGAATCTTTGTAATGAACTTCGTGACCCTCCCAGAAGAGAATGTGCTCCTCAGTGTTTCCCAAACCGGTTTCTTTAAATCACTGTTTATGTAAGTGTGTGGCACACAGATACATTCCCCTTGGGAAAAAAAAAAGTCATAAATTACAGTTAAAGCTACAGGTTCTTCTGACCAATGACCCATCCCCAGAGGTTTCACTCCCCTACCCGCAGGCACCAGCTGTTGTCAGTTTGGACCCCTGCAAACCTTTGCTGTGAATTTCCACTCACACATATATAGTATGTGTCCACACAAAGTATTTAGGATGTATGAGTTTTATGTAAAGGTACCATATCATTCTAAAGAACTAGTTTTGTTCACGTGACAATATATCCTTGAGGTCTAGTTGAGTCAGGAGTGAAGCCCCATCTCCCTCTTATTAGGGCTGCTTAGAGTGCCACAGAGTAGGCATCAAATCCCCTTAAGATGGACACTTGGGTTCTTCCACATAAATCATGGAGCCTTTACTCAGGACATGTTGGTGGACCCAGGGTTTCTCCAAACATACCTTGAAAAACACAGATCTGGACCAACCCTTTCACTATATGTCAAGGGACAGGACAAGCCAGTGTTCTCCAAGGCCAAGGGCAGAGTCCACCCCCCAAGAGACCTGGATCCTTGTGGAGGCTGTGCCTCTAATGTGCTGTGTGACCTCAGGCATGTCCCTTGCCCTCTCTGGGCCTCCTCCCATGACACACAGGCTGGGCTGAGAGGCTCTTGGGCACCCTTTTTGACACAGACCTTCCCTGGCTCCACACACACTGTTGGATTCATCGCCTTCTCCCATTTCTCCCCTACAGCGACCTGACAACAGCAACGGCAACCCACCAGGGTCCACAGAGAGTAAGTATCTGGCAAACAGATGCTGCGGAGTCCTGTGTTATGTCAGGGACTGGGTTAGGTTCTCAGTGAGAGCTTGAGGCAAAAGTCCCAAACGGTCAAAAACACCCTTGAAAATCCCCTAAATTGCCCCAAAGTACTTCTTACAAGATATTTTGTGTCTATAACACTGTTTAATAACATGAAAAAAACATCGTTCGTTTTAAACTGTAGAATCGCACCCAGCATGGCAAGATGCTTACTTATACCAGGAGACAGACACACATTGCTTGGTCTAGGGCGGGTGCCGGTGTTGGTATGGGAAATACCCAGGGCTGTCGGGGTACTCAGATAAAGCCTCACCATCCCATGTATCTCTCTTCTCAGAAGGTTCTGAGGACGTCATCGTGATTGCCCTGTATGATTACGAGGCCATTCACCACGAAGACCTTAGTTTCCAGAAGGGGGACCAGATGGTGGTCCTGGAGGAGTAAGTCCCCATCCCACTCCCCCTAAGACATACTTACCTATAATACACAATTATTCTCTCTTTTGTGCTTCAATAAAGAACCTGATAGACGATCTTATCCTAAGGTGTAAATGACTGATGAGAACCTGAACATAATAGAGGAAGAAGGGCTTGCTATTCACCTGGATGAAAGCCAAAATAAAGGGGCCTGTGTACTTACTAACGGTGCATGTCCAGACTAAGATCAACCAGTGAAAGCACTTTCTCAGGGAAGCCTTCCTCCTGTGATCAAGCTACAGGCTTACCTTTGGACCAGCCCCTGCTGAGGTGACTTTGCATTCAGAAATCCTTGAATCTCTGAGTTTGCTGCCTCCGATTTCCTCCAGTCTTCACCATCAGTGTGTGTCATGTTTAGTACTGTGCAAGGGCCCAAAAATGGCAGTGGTTATGCTTGGTCAGACTCCTGAGCCCACTCCCTCCGGCTCTCGGTCCCAACTGAAATTCTATGAGTCTGCCATTGGCACGGGGCCTCATCTTGGGTATGGCTAGGAAGGCCAAAGCCACAAATCCAGGGGGAAAGGGTAGGACCTTGGTCTGAGAATGCAAGGACTGGCCGTGATGCCAGATCTTTGGATGCATGGCGGGGACTACCGTAAAGATCCCCAGGGTAATCACGGGGTGTAAGCAAAGGGGTATCCTAGGCTGAGGCTGAGGGGTCCAAGAGAACCAGGGGGAGTCCATCCGCCCCCAACTCCTTTGCTCCCTCATGTCTCTCAGGTCTGGGGAGTGGTGGAAGGCTCGGTGCCTGGCCACCCAGAAAGAAGGCTACATCCCAAGCAACTATGTCGCCCGCGTTGACTCTCTGGAGACAGAGGAGTAAGTATTCTATTTTCCTGCCCTCCAGAAGGAAGCCTAAGGAAAACCAGCGTTGTTCCTGCCTCAGGGCCTTTGCATTCACCATCTCTCCTGCCTGGCGCACTCTTCCTGGGACTCTTTGGCTGGCTCCTTCTCATCCTTTGAGTCTCAGAGAGGCCTTCCCTGACCACCCTGTCTAAAGTGGGTCCCCTCTGTGACTTTCTCTCTTATGGAAACCTATTTTATTCCCTTCTGAATACTTCTTACTAGCATTTCTTCCTTGTGCAAGATCTGTGAGATAACTTCCTAGGTGTGGAATTTCCAGGGAGACAGTTCTTACTGCGTACCTATAGCATTGCTTGATTATTGTACCACGCGTGAACCACTTTACAAAATGAAAGCAGAGAAGGCAGGCGGGTAGTGCGGCATAGTGATTAAGAGCTTGGGCTCTAGAGCTAGGCTGCCTGGATTTGAATCCGGCCTCCACCACATCCCAGCTGTATGATGCCAAACAAGCTACTTGCTCTGTTTCTCAGTTTCCTTATCTATAAAATGGGGATTATAAGGGTAACGATTCCATAAGTGGTTGGGCAGATGACTGTTAGCTATCTTTCTCCATAGCAGGTTTATGGCAAGGTCAAAGCCTGCTGACCTCCAGTCTGGGCCTTTCTCCATTACAGCACATGAACTACTCCTCCCCCGACTGAGGGTAGAAATAGATTCAGTTGATGCTGCTTAAACTTTCTCACCAAATATCCCAAATATCTGGGAGAATGAAGAAAATATCCAGGGATATGTCCCCAAGTATAAAATTATTTGAAATCTCACATTTTCACTTAGAAATTCATGCCAACTTATACTCGATACTGTACATACAAAGGGGGATAACCTGTGAAGGTGACAGAGATCAGACCCTAACTCACATGGCCCTTGAGGCCCTGAGAGGAATATCGTATCCTTGTGAAATGTGCACAAGTGAGATTTTGACCACAGCTGCTTAAGACTACTTACTGTATCTTCCCACTCAGCCTTTCTGTCCTTCTGTCCATCACCTTACTTCTCCCATGAGTGGCACTGGAATGACCCCCGGGCATTTTGTATTTGTAATGCTGTGTTACTTTTCTCAAAGAAAGCCCCCCAGCGTTTTAGTCTCGGCAAACTGGATTCAACCCTGGTAAAATGTCTGTTTTAATATCAAAAGAAATTGTTGTTCCATAAAGAGTCTTTGAGGAAAATCCATGCTGTGGGAAACCAGGCCCTTTGTATTCCGGCGCCCTTGTGAGCTGAACAGGACTGCCCCCGGTCCCCTAGGGGTTTACACGCTGTATCAACCCCCACGCTGTCTCCTCCCCCATGTGCTGTCTCCTCCCCCACGCACTGTCTCCTCCCATTTCCACCAGGTGGTTCTTCAAGGGCATCAGCCGGAAGGATGCAGAGCGCCAACTCCTGGCCCCTGGCAACGTGCTGGGCTCCTTCATGATCAGAGACAGCGAGACCACCAAAGGTGACCCAGCCCTCCTCACGCTATCTAGATAGATAGATAGATAGATAGATAGATAGATAGATAGATAGATAGATGATAAATGATAGAAGATAAACAGATAGATAATAACGATGATAATAATAATGATGACAATGATGATGATGATGATGACAGCCAACATTTACTGTTGACATCCCAGGCACTTTATAAGCATTACTTCTTTTAATCATCAGGCAATGTGACGAGATAGGGAGGTATGATGACCAATCCCATTTTACCGATGAGGAAACTGAGGCACAGAGAGGTGATGCACTCACTTGTCCACTGTCTCAGAGCTGGACATGGAGGAGCCTGGAAGAGAACCCAGGCAGCCTGACTCCACAACCTTCTCTTACTCTTGTGCTTCACTACCCAGGTGCCAGGATAGGGCCAGTGGTGGCCTTACAGGGGCGTCGGGAAGGGGTGTCAGCATGCCGACATTAGACGGCAGGCCTCTGAGGTCTCACTCCTGAGCAGCGTCTCTCCTCTGACCAATGCAGGAAGCTACTCTTTGTCCGTGCGAGACTATGACCCCCAGCACAGGGATGCAGTGAAACATTATAAGATCCGGACCCTGGACAATGGGGGCTTCTACATCTCCCCACGGAACACCTTCAACACCCTGCAGGAGCTGGTGGCCCACTACAAGAGTAAGTCCTGACCAGGACCACGCCCCAACTGGGTGGGCCTATCTCCCGGGAATCTTAGTCAAGGGTGTGTTGCAGCCTCTGAGGCTCGCTGAGCTCTTCCTGACCCTCCCCAAATACATGGTTGCTTTGGATTTTCCTGAAATCTTAGGCCTATTGAGCAGAAGGGTGGAGGTGGCATTTTATCATGCCCTGCTCTCTTGGGAATGTCCCTGATCATAGCAGCCTGTTAAAACGTTGGCTAGATGCAGTGAACCAGGCAGGGAGGCCTCCGAGGGGAAGTCTCTGGCTGGCTCAGAGCTGGCTGCCCTCGACTAACCAGGGGCTCTGTTCCAGAGGGGAGCGATGGACTCTGCCAGAAGCTGACAGTGCCCTGCGTGTCCTCCAAGCCGCAGAAGCCGTGGGAGAAAGATGCCTGGGAGATCCCCCGGGAATCCCTCAAGCTGGAGAAGAAGCTTGGAGCTGGGCAGTTTGGGGAAGTCTGGATGGGTAAGGACCCAGGGACAGGGGGTGGCAGGGAGGGAGAGGAGAGGGAGATCATTGCTTTCAGGAACAGCCTGAGGCAGAGTGGGAATGCCACCCAGTGCAGAAGGAGAGATTTGAATAATAACCATAAAGGAGCATTTCCTCTGATAGCAAACCAAATTGTCCTGCCATGCAAACACTGATTTGCCTTTGAGGCCAGGCCTGTTGGGCTCAAAAATTTCCTTCTGGGAAGCAGGAACCCTGGACTAGGAATCCACTCCCTCGTGTGGAGCCAGGACAGTCTATCAGTTTGGGGTCGAGATAACCAGAGGCCTCTTAGGGTGATGAAAATTAAGAGTGGTGAAATACAACTTAGAAATTTCCGGCTGAGTTCAGTGTTGGCAACTGCTAAGCAAGCTGCTCTGGGCACCTGCCGTGTACCTAGTGTTGTGCCAGGGCATTATGGGACACCAAAAAGTCACATTCCACCCTTGCTGTCCTGCCCCTCATAGCTTGAGAACAGCGATGCCTGCTCTGCAGAATTGTGGGGTAGACGCAGTGTTTGGCTCAGTACCTGGTGCACCCCATTGTGTTTACACTCCACCGTATTCCGAATGAGAGTGAAGACAACTCACAGAGATGTAAACAATTCAGCTAGAGAAAATAAGTTTAGAGTCCACGTACTCCTACTCCATTTATTGAGAACCTATTATCTGCTAGGCACTGAATAAGAGAATGTGGCAGAGAAAGTATGGAGAGGAAGGTAAGACAGATCTGAGTAATTAGGTTAGAAAACTAAAAATATTATATAAGGCTTTTAGACTCTTACTATAAGAAGACCTCAAATTTGGATTAGCGCTTCCTGGCAGCCAAGGCAAAAATGGGAACACCACAAGCAATTATGAGATCTATAAGATCATCAGCAAGATGAAACAAGGGTGGAGTTGGTTGAGGGAACAGCATATGCAAAGTTCCTGTGGTGAGGGGGACTGGGTGCTTGAGGGGCCGAACGACATGCAGGTAGATTAGGGCACAAAAGGCAATGAGAAGTTTGATGGATGATGAGGCTGGCAAGGTGGGCAAGGCCAGATCATGCAGGACCTCGTAGACCATGAAGAGACTGGTGTTCATTTTGACAACAGTGTTAAGATGAAAGCATTTAAAGCAAAGATGGGGTGTGTGTGAGACATAATCTGAGTGAAGTTTTGAGGTTGTTCTTTAAACCCTACAATAGCCCTTCAAAGACAGTGCTACTATTTCCACTTTACAGATGAGGAAACCACAGCTCAGAGAGGTTAAGTGACTTGCCCAAGGGCCCACAGCCTTCCAACCCACATCTGTCTGAACCAAAGCCCGTGTCTCTCCTTCCCTAAGGGCTGAGATGGGCAGGAAAGACTTTCTGGAGATGGCATGTCTGCAGCTGGGCCTTCCTGGGCTGTGGGGAAAGAGCAGTGGGCTCTGACCACTTGTCCTGCTTTCTGTCCCACTCTAGCCACCTACAACAAGCACACCAAGGTGGCTGTAAAGACGATGAAGCCGGGGAGCATGTCTGTGGAAGCCTTCCTGGCAGAGGCCAACCTGATGAAAACTCTGCAGCATGACAAGCTAGTGAAGCTACATGCAGTGGTCACAGAGGAGCCCATCTACATCATCACAGAGTTCATGGCCAAAGGTACTGTGATCTAGGGGCTGGGAATGCAGGCTGGGGCTCATACGAGTCAACTGCAGACTCAGAGATGACTCTGATAATGGTTCTTGACCTCAATATGCCCCCAATCTGTCCAGGAGCTCTTCTCAATTAAGTTGTACTTACAGAACAACTTAATATGCAATTGCCCAGCTCTTCTGGTTAATGGGATGAAACCATGTTAAGATGATGGCAGGGGAAGGGAAGCACACGAAGCTGCCAGGAGAGGGGAGTAGGGCAGAACCCCACGGGGTGATGGGAAAAGAGGCTATGAGTTCACTGTGAGCCTTAGAAGCCAGGGGCAACTCTCCCCTTCAGCCACCTTCCCTTCATGGCCCAGTGCTCCGGAAAAGAGATTCAGCAAAGCACTGATTCTAGGCTGCCCCAACCCTGCCTACCCATGATCCAGAATTTGTCGGGGATTTATTTTTTAGGCCACCATTTCACAACTATTTTTAATCCCTGCCCATTTGCCGACTAATAGAAACATCTCACTCCACCTCATGAAGCGTGATTTGAAATCTAAAACTTTTTTCATTTTCTAAATGCACAGTTATGACCGCTTTATGAAACCATGGCCCTAGTCATCCAGGCTCAGAAAGCTGCCTCAGTGAAAGAACCAGTCTACTAATCACAGTTATTTTAAAACTCTCCAATTCTATTTCTCAAACAGTAGGAGTGGCAAATAAATATTTTTATTTGAATCCATCATTATGAACATTTTTAACCATAAAGTAGTGAGAGTAGCCATGTTGCTTCCCCTCCCCCACAGGAAGCCTGCTGGATTTCCTGAAAAGTGAAGAAGGCAGCAAGCAGCCATTGCCAAAACTCATCGACTTCTCAGCCCAGGTGAGAGGCTACTGCAGAAATTTGGGAAGTGGGCAGAAAGGGCATTCAGTGATTTACTTTTCAGCACATACTTACTGACCACAGACTATAATAATAACAATAATAGCTAACATTCATTGAGTAGTCAGTACGAAAGTATCCTTTCTGTATGTGCCTTAGGTATTCTAACTCATTTAATCTTCACATCGACCTTCTAGGATGGGATTTTTTTAATCTACTCTTATGTAACAAACCACCCCAAAGCTTAGGTACTTGAAACAACATTTCTGTAGGTTGATAGGTTGGCTGGGTGGTTCTTCTGCTCTACGTGGTGAAACTGAGGTCACTCATGTAGCTGCATTCTGCTGAGAGCTTGCCTGGCCTAGAATGTCTGGGACGGTGGCTCATCCTCCAGGGTCTCCCTCCAGGGTCTCCCTCCACGTGGCCAGAGCTTCTTTATGGCGTGGTGGCAAGGTTCCAAGAGGGAGTATACGAAGGGGCCAAGCCCCAGTATCCAAGTGCTGATGAGGCCTCTGCTCGCACCGTGCTTGCTAATGTCTTGCTGAACAAAACAGGTCACATGGCCCAGCCCAGAGTCAGTGTGGGAGGGGACTGCCCGAGGGCATGAGTCCATTGAGGGCCACAGATATAACCGTCTGGCCATGTGTCAGCCCATGACACATGACAACTGTCATCCCATTTTACAGAATAGGAAATTGAGACATAGAGAAGAAGTACAGATGAGGAAACAGAGGCCCATTGCGGTTAAGTAGCTAAGTTACTATGCCAATTTTGGGGGATACAGCAGTGAACAACATGAAAAGTATTTCTGTCCCCACAGAGTTGATAGTCCAGATGGGAAGACAGATATTGAATAACTGAATGTCTTAGAGAGCAATGACCCAAGAGTCCTGGCTTAGTGAATGTAGTATCCAGCAAAATAATAATTTACGCAAATCACAGAAACACTTCTCCAAACTCCATTTTCTTTATCTTCCCTTCATTCTCTGCAGCTACTCTCACTCTCAACCTGCGTGCTTTTTACTTCTATCCTCTCTCATTCTCTCCTATTTGCGAGAAAACAGGGAGGAAAGGGGTACTATGGGAATACACGGCTAGAGCACTGAGCCTGGCCCAGAAGCAATGCAAGAAGACTTCCCGGAGGAAGTAGCCTCTTGGCTGAGCCCTGAAGAATTAGTAGAAGTAGGCAGATAAAGAGAGAAAAGGCTTTTCTAGACAGAAGAAACGGCCCAAAGGGGAAAAACAAAAGAGCTGGGCTTAATCAGCTCTCCCGAGCCAGGGGCTGAAAGGGGGTGTGGCTAGCAGCCTGTTGGGCATTAAGAGACCTGTACCCTGGCCTAGGGCTGGCCCTTCTGGAGATGCCTATGGCAGAACTCATCTGAGTACACAAATTGGGGGCAGGGGTCAGAGGTATAATAAAAGGCCTTACCTTTCAGAACCTGGAATGCCAGAGATATATGAAAACCAAGACCTGGCAGTTTGATTTTAATGGTCCCTATCCCTAGAGAAAGTAGTCTGACCTGTTGATAACTTATAGCCATCAAACTGGCAGAAACCTTGCTCGGGGAAGAGTCATCGACTGGACCAAGAGCCGCCCTCTCCCTTTCACAAACGGGAAAACAGAAACCAAGGGAGGAAAAGAGATGCCAGGCCCTTGGGCATCCAGGAGCAGAGGTGGACTCAGGGACATGAAGCAGCCGGTCCAGGTACCTGGTCTTTGCCTCCAGTCCTAGAGGCCGATTGGCACAGTGCTGGGCACCCCAGACCTGCCACCACCTGGCTTTGGAACCACCTTGGATCCACTCTGGGTCTCAGTCTCTCCATTTGTCAAATGAGGGAATGGGACCACGTCTGTGATTTTCAAGTTCAGAAGCCTGTTTTTAAGCACAACTCTGTTCACCAAATGAAATCTTAATACAGTAGCTGACTATCTTAAAATAGGTCAAAACGGAGCTTCTCTGTTTGAAGGCGGGGCTCATGTGCGGCCTTTCTTTTGTCCCCCCACCTCCAGGCAACCTTGAGGTATCAGTAGCATTCAGTTTGAAGAGCTGGCATATCCCCAGAGGCCCTCTTCAGCCTGATTCTGTGATTCCCTGATACTTTCGAAAGAAACCCAATGCTCGACATCATGGGAACACTTGGTGGTCATGAAATCTCATTATCGGATCAACCCCCAATTCTTAGTCCAACCCTGAGCCGAGTAAACCTGTCTGTTATTCATTCAGTTGACAAAATCTTGAGAGGCAACACTCTGTATGCATACGGGTTTACATATGCTTAAGAGTTGTATAGGATTTTGGTTTATATCCCAGCTCTGTCTGTATAGCTTTGAGCAAGTTGCTTAACCTCTCTGAGTGCCACTTTCCTCAACAGGGAGCACTAATAGCCACCACTGAAGTGAATACTTACGTGCCAGAAACTGTTCTAAGTCCTTGATGTAGGCTTAGAGGATTAATCCTCACACGACTCCTCAGAAGCAGGTTTTACGGTTGTTCCCATTTTACAGAGGAAAATGAGGCACAGAGGGGTAAAGCAGCTTGCTTGAGATCACAGACCTGAGGGGCTCAAGCTCAGCTGGTCCAAGTCCAGAGTCACTTAGGCATTATCCTCTACTGTTCTAGGTGGGTTAGTCTCACCTGTCCCACTGAGCTCATTTGAAAATCAGTAACATGAGTATCTGCCAGTGGCTACTAAAAATGGGAACTGCCAGCATCACACCTGCTCTGTACCAAATAGAAGGCCAAAAATTCAGGTGTAATAATGGATAAGTGCATGGACCCTGAGCACGGCTGTCGGAGTTTCAATCCTGATCTCCACTTGGGCCAGTTATTTATTTAAATATCATCTTAAAACAAATGAAGAAGCTACAATGTCTGCCATTAAGGTAATAACTGTGGTTAATTGTTCCTCTAAAGCCTCCTTAGAAATTTCCCACATCCCCCAGGCAAAGATCCTGTCTCGCCCCAACCCTAGCCAGCTAGCTACCCCAAACAAAATCAGAAGTCTTTCAGGTTTTCGTTGGAAAGTATGGAGATACAGACCTTAATTCCGACGGTCATGGGTGCCCCCTGCTGGCCACTTCCTGCAAGTGCACTACCCACTTAGACTGAGCTGGCTAGTGCCTGGGTTTTGGTCTGTCTGGGCAGACCTCCACCCCTCCAAATAATCTCACCAAATTGCACCCAGCTGCAGTCCTCCAGAGCACTAGAGTTCTGCAATAATTAGAGGCAGCATAGAGCACTGGAACTGGACTCTCACAGACTGGATTGAGTCTGACATTCATAACTTTCTTGGTGTGGTGAGGAAAATATGGCCCTCTATAAAACAGAGATTGTGAGAACACCTGCCTCAAGGAGCTTGAAGACAAGTTTGTAAATTATAAACGCTGTTTGCTGGGTGTCTGAGGATTAATCATAAACCTCTTTATAAGAGTTAATGTACAAATCCTTGTAAGTAGAAAACGTCTCAAAGGAAAATTCCACATCTTTCTGTCAGAGGTGCCCAGGGCCATGTTATGAATAAAAAAAACAATCTATTATTCACTCAGCAGCTATGATGACATTATACATCAGACCATGTCATACTCCTGTTCGAAGCCTTCTACTGTCTTCCCATCGCACTCAGATACACTCTAACTGCCTGTCCTAGCCTACAATGTCCTTTACGACCAGTCACCTCCCTCTCAACTTGCCCCACTGTCCCTGTGGCAACTTCTGCTCGGCCACCTGCTCTATGAATACCCAATCTCATTCCTACCTGGGCCTTTGCACATGATGTTCTCTCTGCCAGGAATGTTCTTATTTGATACACTTATTATCATCACTGAGATCTTTGCTTAAACTTCATCTCCTCAAGGCAGCCTTCCCTGATGACTCAATCCAAAAAGCCCTCTAGATTTCATTTCCTGTTACCCCTCTTTATCCTTTCTTTATGGTAGTCATTATCACCTACCGGGTCTGTGCCTAGCTCACCACCTGTTCACGTAACATGTCTGGCACCCACAAGACATTCAGTAGGTATTTGTTGAATGAATAAATAAATTTTTCCTACCCAGGCTTAGGGATGAAAAAGGTATAAGAGATACAATAGAATTTGATGGGAGCCTAGGTTGTCCCCAGAAAGGGGATGGGGGACGAAAGTTCTTCATCGTCTCCTGGTGAAAGTGGGTAGGTCCTAGAGAAAATGCCATTGCTTTTTCCTTAACATGATCTCTGGAAGTCCCAGAAATCTAGCGAAGCCCCCACATTGACCCAGGCCCCGAGAATCCCCCCAACCTGGATGGGTCGACAGAGAAATGCCAGCTTGAGCTCAGGACACTTCTACCAAAAAGGGGGAGCCGGCACACACGTTTTTCTCTTTCCTCACACTGGGACACTTCTGCTTTTGGGGGGACCCACCTTGGGCTGGGCCAGATCTGAGGATGAGGGTGTCTCTGTTTTGGGTGGAGATTGCGGAAGGCATGGCCTTCATTGAGCAGAGGAACTACATTCACCGAGACCTCCGGGCCGCCAACATCTTGGTCTCCGCGTCCCTGGTGTGTAAGATCGCCGACTTCGGCCTGGCGCGGATCATCGAGGACAACGAGTACACAGCTCGGGAAGGTAGGGATGCTGCTGAGGGGCCCGTGGGGCCCGCTTGGATGGGTTGTGAGCGTTGAGAGTTGAGATATGTGGAAGTGCTAGGTAACTCGCAAAGGTACCTGTCCCAGTATTAGTTGCGTATTATCACAATTGAGGGAGGCCTTCTGGATATAGGGTCCTGTCCTGCAAAGTCACCGGTGACTCTGATTTTAGATTGAGTTAGGTGAGTGCATGTTGAAATTAAGTGTAAGAGCAACTCCATGTGTAACAGACAAAAAGAGGAATCCAAATGTCTATAAATAGGAGAACGGATTTATAAATTGTGGTATATTCACGCAATATAATGTATATAGCAATGAAAAATTACAAACCAACACTACATACAACAAAGTGGTTGATTCTCACAGACATAATATTGAAATGAAAGAAATCAGACCGAAAAAAGTAGATGCTGGATGGTTTCATTTATATAAAATTCAGAAACAAGCAAACTTGTGTATAAATGTTCAAAGCAGCATTATTCATAATAGCCAAAAAGCGGAAGCAGCCCAAATGTCTGTTAACTGATAAACAAATAAACAAAATGTGGTCTATCCATACAATGGAATATTATTCAGCCATAAAGGAATGAAGTACTAACACATGCTAAACATGGGTAAATTTTCAAAACATCATGTTAGACATAAAGAAAGCAGACATAAAGACCACATCCTGTATGATTTCATTTATTATGAAATGTCCAGAACAGGCAAATTTATAGACAGAAAGTAGATTAATGGTTGCCTAAGGCTGGGGTTGGGAGTTAGAAAGAAATGGGAAGTGACTACTATGGATTTGATGGGAGTGGAGGGGGAATATATGAAAATATTCTAAAATTCACAACTTTATGAATATACAAAAAAACGCTGAACTACATACTTTAAATGGGTGAATTGTATGACCTGGGACTATATCTCAATAAAACTTTTAAAGAGAAGAAAACAGGCAAAACTCATTTATGATGATAGAAGTCAGAACAGCGCTTACCTGGAATGTGAGGTACTGACTGGGGGGCAGAAGGGAGCCTCTGAGGTGCCGAAGGGGTACAGTATTTTGATCTGAGTGGTGATTACAAGTATAGACGTATATAAAAAAGCATCGAATAGTATATGACAAATTTGTGCACTTTATTTCATGTTTGTTATGATGCAATAAAAAAAAATCGAAACTAAGGGCGACCACTAAAAGAAGAGAGTAGAATGTATAATTTCTAAACTAGGAGAGGATAAGCAGAAATAGAGAAAACTTTCCAAATCCCAAGGAAAATATGGATGGAGGAAAAAAACACACAGGGCATTATCAGAACTTGACCATGTGCTTACTCAGTCATAGAGCAGATTTCACCAAACTCCAAAGAGCACGTATCCTACAGACCAGGGGTCCCCAATCCCTGGGCCACGGACCAGTATCTGTCTGTGGCCTGTTAGGAACCGGGCTGCACAGCAGGAGGTTAGCGGCAGGCAGGCGAGTGAAGCTTCATCTGTTATTTGCAGCCACTCTCCAGCACTAGCATCGTCACCTCAGCTCCACCTCAGATCATCAGGCATTAGATTCTTACAGGAGCACTGGTCCCTGATGCCAAAAAGGTTGGGGACCGCTGCTATAGACCACGTTCACCAAACACAATGTAATTAAGACAGAAATCAGTAACCAAAGATTAACTAAACCCATCCCAAACCAAGTGGAAGGAAGAGAGTAGAGGGGGAGGTACCCAGTGACTGGTAGAAACCCCAAAGGCCAAGGCCAAAATCTTCCCCTGTTACGAGGGGTGATGAGGTGAGGCATCAGCTGCAACCTGTACTCAAAGTCCCCTGCAGTCCTGCCATCCCCAAAGATTTTGTGACCTCTAGGACTGCGCTCTTCAGGAGTTGGAGGTCACAGGGGCATCAGCTCAATACACAAGGTGGTCCCGGAAAGAGAGGTGCCCCAGCACACCCCAGGCCCCTCTGCTCTCTGCTCCCCACTTCAGGCATCTGCCTCAGCATGGATGTTTCTTGCTTCCGCAGAGGCCAGGTTTGAGGGAAATCACAGTTCAGGAGGGCGGGCGCGTGGGGGGTTAGTTGTGGGTAGCTGTGCCCTGTCTTGTTCCCTCACCCTAGCAGAAACCTAGTCCTGACTGCTCCCCAGACTCTCTCTGACTCTGCTCTGTCCAACTCCACAGGGGCCAAGTTCCCCATCAAGTGGACAGCTCCTGAAGCCATCAACTTTGGCTCCTTCACCATCAAGTCAGATGTCTGGTCCTTTGGTATCCTCCTGATGGAGATCGTCACCTACGGCCGGACTCCGTATCCAGGTAGGGAAGGGGGCATCAGCTTGGGGCTGCTTCCTGGTCCCAGCCTGGCTCCCTTCTCTTGTTAGTGTGCCCATTCAGGCCGAGTTCTTGATTTTCACCCCACACCTTTCCTTGGCTGCCCCATCTCGGTTAAGGTACCACTATCCACCCAGTTTCCTTTTATTTTAATTTTTATTTTTCAATTAGAGGTGACATTCAATATTACTTTGTATTAGTTTCACGTGTACGGCATAGTGGTTAGACATGTATATAACTTAAGATGCAGTCCCCTCAATTAGTCTAGTACCCATCTGGCACTATATATAGTTATTACAACATTATTGACTGTATTCCCTATGCTGTACTTCCCATCCCGGTGACTATTTGGTAACTACCAATTTGTACTTCTTAATCCCTTCACCTTTTCCGCCCACTTTCTTAAGCCTAAAATCTAGGGGCTTCCTCTGCCTTGCCTTGCCTTCCCTTTCACCCCTTACCACATGCAAGAAGTCACAAGATTCTGGGTATTTGGTTCTAAAATACATACCAAGTCTGCCCACTTCTAACTCCACGGCCCCTACCTGCATCCAGGCCAGTGTCATCTGTCGCCTCGATGGTACAGTAGCCGACTAACCAGTCACCCTGCTTTCTCCCCTCTCTCCTATAGGTCATTCTCTACTTGCAGCCAGAGGGCTTGTCTTAAAATTCTAAATCATATCTTGTCCCTCTCCACCTCTAACTCTTTTATGATTTCCCACCATAATTAGGGTAAAATCTCAAACTCTTAATTGTGGCCTGCAGGTTGTGCATGATCAAGCCCTTGCTACTTCTCCAGTTTCACCTCATCCTGCGCCCCACCACCCAGTCACCTACAGTGCCATACATGTCCCCTGTATGTTCATAACACCCTACACTGTCTCCTTCATAGCATTTATCACAATCGATCAGTATGTATTTGTTTCGTATTTTCCCATCAGACTCTGAGCTCCACCAGAAATCGTGTGTATATTCCTCACTGGTGTATCTGCACTGCCTACCTCTGTGCTGGGCACATCGTGGGTTCTTAGTAACTATTTGTGGAATGGATGAATTTATCCACGTGCCTGTCGGCAGCGCCCTCCACTGAGTAGACCACATGGATATACAAAGATACAACCAACATATAGATTGCCTGGGACTCAGTAAATGTTGTTCTCTGCTCCTTTTTGGTTGGGATGTCTCCTGGGATACATGTAGCAAGGACACTGGGAAAAGGTGGGAAAGAGGATATAGAGAGTCCTTGACTTTCATGTAAACAGTCCCGAATTTGAATCCTGTCTCCATCAACGATCACACTTGGAGAAATTCACTTCCCTTCTACTCCAGTGTCTTCGCCTTTCAAAAAAATATGGCAATGATATCTATCTTGCAGAGGTGGATAGGAAGATTAGCAAAAAAAGATAAAGACACTGTGCGTTCAACAGTACTTATCAAACTCCTACCACGTGTTAGGCATTGAGGACACAGTAAAAGAGGAGGTCCCTGCGTGTGAGGAGTTCATGTCCTAGCCTGGAGGAGCGCACACTAAACAGACACGCGGTCTCAGCTGGCGGCCTCCGCTGAGAAAAAAATGAAGCAGCGGCGTGTGAGAGGAAAGTGACATGGGGCTCCTGCGGACAGGGTCGCACCTGTCAGAGCAGGTCATATTTAAGTGGAAAGACAGCTGAGTGAGGATCTAGAAAAAGGATTTCAGGGAGAAGGCACTGCTCGCTCTTATGGCCTGAGGTGTGCCTGAAGAACTGTAAGGAAGCCAGGGAGCTGGAGATAAGGAATGAAAGCAGATGGTAGATGACGAGGTTGGCAGGGGCCGTATCTGGCAGGGCCCAGGGTCATGGTGAAGAGTGAATGGAGGTTACTCTTAAATATGCGGAAACTATTGGAGAGTTTGAGGCAGGGAAGTGGCATCATCTGATTTCCACCTGTCAGTGTTGCTTTGGTTCAGCGGGGAGAGTAGATTCAGGGCTGGGGACGTGGTGGCAGCCACACAAGTGGCACAGGCAGAGGTGGTGATAGTAACAGAGGTAAGTTGATGGGACGGTGCTACATTTTAAAAGAAGAAAAGATGTGACTTGCTGATGTGGAAGGTGAGGAAGAGCAAAGAATCAAGGATAGTTCTCATGGTTTAATTGAATGACTAGATAGGTAATGGTCTAGGGATAGGAATTCAAGGGTTCTGTTTTAGTCCAGTTAAATTGGAGGTGACTTGTAGACATCCAAGTAAAGACGTTCGAGGAAGCACTTGGATATTTGAATTTGGAGTTCAAGACCGGTAATATAAAATTAGGGATCACAGACAGTTAAATGGTTGTTCTTAAGGATAACTAACAAACTTTAATTAAACAAGGAAATGGTCCCACTCATACATAGGGTGACATTAAGTCTGGCTACCTGACTGTTTTGTCTTGAGAAGACACCAGGAAACATCAGGCAGTGGCTTTTGGAACCCTGTATCCATTAGGATGGATTGCGCTTCAAGTAACAAACTAAAAGACTCAGAGTGATGGAAGTGATAGGCAAGTTATCATTCCCCATAGTAAGGAGTCTGGCATTGGTGACTGGTTAGTTCAGCCGCTCAGCAGTATTGCATTCCCTGAAGGATTTATATCACAGCGCCCACCGGGGTCCCATAGAACCGTATACTAAATTGATTTTGTACCCCTGAGGAATCTGAGGACTCTGGGTTAGTTTCTCTAAGATTGTCTTCCTCATGTGGTCAGATGGCTACTGTAGCTCCAAGGATCACATCGTCTGAGTGTCTAAAGGAAGGAGGAACTGTGTGTCCTCTGAAGTCTCTTTTCATCAGGGAGGAAAACCTTTCCTGGAAGTCTCCTAGGAGACTCCCCTCTACTCCCACTGGCCAAAACTCGGTGCCATGCCCCTGCTCTCACTGCAGGGGAGGCTGGGGAAGAGAGTATCTAGCTTTCGCAGTGGGAGGGGCTTAACTCCCAAGAGGAAGTAGGGAGTGATGGCTGTTGGGGAGGCAACAGCATCTGCCACCCCTGCACTCCTTTCCCCAATCCTTCCCTTTTTGATTCCATGGCTCTTTCTCAGGGAGGTCAAACCCTGAGGTAATCCGGGCACTGGAGCATGGATACCGGATGCCCCGACCAGAGCATTGTCCCGAGGAGCTCTATAACATCATGACTCGTTGCTGGAAGAACCGCCCTGAGGAGCGGCCCACCTTCGAATATATCCAGAGTGTGCTGGAAGACTTCTACACGGCCACTGAGAGCCAGTACCAACAGCAGCCATGACGGGTAGGACCAGGCGCTTAGGTGATGCCTCTGAGGTAGCTCCAGCACCGTCTTCACAGTACCTGCTCACCCTTTCCACTCCCAGACACCCACCCTCACTCCAGTAACAGTTCCTCATCTGTCAAGAGGGTGGGTTGGACTGGACAATCTTTTTGACTCTAGCGATCCACAATCTGCCATTCTCAAGAGACCCCAGCTGGATATTTCTATTGCCTGGGACAGCTGGATTCCAGTTACAGCTGTGGTTTAGATGGGAAACTTTAAAAATAATGAAATAAATATTTAAATAAAAGATACGAATGCTAAAGCTTTTACTGACAGGTTGGCTTTTCTTCCAGTCCCTGAATATCTATTTGCCTTTTTGCTGGTGACAAGTCAGAATTGGGGAAGGCCCTTCCCCAAGAGTAGTAGTAGGGGTTTAATACTCAAAATTTTCTAACTGCTGCAAAATAGCTACTGGCTGTGTGAGTTCCCTATTGCTGCTGTAACAAATTACCACAAACTTGTGGTTTAAAATGACACAAATTTATTATCTTACAGATCCAGAGTTCTTCAGAATTCTGAACTGGGTTGGCAGGGCTGCATGCCTCTGGAGGCACGAGGGGAGAATCCATTTAAGGAAATGGATTCTTTTCTAGCTTTTGGAATGTGCCGCATTCCTTGACTCGTGGTTTCTCTCCGCTCCTTACTCCAGACTCTGGTCCAGTCATCACATCTCCTTGTCCTTCTCTGAGTCTGCTGCCTCCCTCTTTCACTTGTAAGGGGCCCTATATTTATACTGAACCCACATGGATAATCCAGACTAATCTTCTATCTCAAGACCCTTAATTGTATCTGTAAAGTCCCTTTTGTGGTGTAAGATAACATCTTCACAGGTTCCGAGGATTAGGATGTGGTGGACATCTTTGGGAGGAGGGCATCATTCTTCCTATCTCACTGGCGCTGGGACGCTGGATGGGTTTTTGTCTCTGAGGAGCTGGGTCTACCAGGATGACAAGAATGATTTTTTGTGATCAGGGCCCCTGACTCTCCTGCCAAGCCACATTGCCACATGAGCTGGTTGGTCTGGATCTCCCCCGGCACCAAGGGTATTTCCCATGGCCAAGAAGCCATCAAAGTTGTATTGTTCAGACTGCAAGAATCCTGGGGTTTGGAGATGTGACTGCTGAGAGGTATCTGGTACCCTGTATGAGAAGCTCTCAGTGGAGGGGAGGGAGATCTGGGAAGGAAGCAGAGAAGACGGTGGTGGTGGGCCCTTTCTGCACTTTGTCTCAGTTAAAAGTCCCTGGCAGATAGCTTTTGCTGTCAGAGGAGCAATGAGAAGATGTGACAGTGGGATGGAGAGCAAATGACACCTTTCTGTATTATTGCATTCCCTGAAGGATTTATTTCACAGCACCCGCTAGGGTCCCAAGGAACTCTATACTAAATTGATTTTTGTACCCCTGAGTAGCACAGAGTCTAACCTTAGCAACTGAGTATAAGAACAGTGGAAAATAAAGCTATCAGTGTTTCAACTTATCTAGTTAGTAATTGAATTTCTCTCTTGCTTTCTGGTTTGGGATGTATCTTTGAGTATCTGAAAGCAGTAACAGGATCTTGTGAAAGGAATTTGAACTCATGATTGTGGTACATTCAATTGCTGTTCAGTAATCCATAGGAGTAGTGTATTGCCCTGCTTCATCTGTTGATGTTGAGCTTGGCCATGAGACACTTTAGCCAAAGGGATATTAGAAGATGTGACACAAGCAGAGGCTTAAAATGTGCTTTTGAGGCTGGCTTGCCCTCCATCTTTTTTCCCTGAAAAGAACATGGTCCAAGAAAGATGTGTGTCATGTGGAGTAGATGTAGACCCAACTCGCAGCTTGGAGTTAAATCTAGCTGAGCCCAGCCTCAATCAACTGAACCCCAGGTGACCTGTGGATATGGAAGAGAGGAGTAAATGCTTAATATTATAAGTCTTGGAGTTTGAGAGTTGTTTTATTACATAGAATTATTACAGAAATAGCTGACTGAGACATGATCTCAAGAGTTGGAGCCTATTGCTTTGTGGACAAGATCAAAGAGTTAATTCATGTCCTCTTGCTCTATCAGTTTACATTGCCCTACACTCTGATTTAGCCCTCTGGTCACAGGAAAGAGAGGTGGAAACATGGGCATAGACACAACACTAAAAGCATTATCCAAGAAAGAAAAAATTGATAAATTGGACTTAATTAAAATTAAAAACTCTGCTCTGAGAAAGACAGCATTAAGAAAATGAAAAAAACAAGCTCCAATCTGAGAAAAAATATTTGCAAAACAAAGATCTGACAAAAGACTGATATCCAAAATATAAAAAGAACTCTTAAAACTCAACAATAAAAAAACAAACGACCCAATTTTAAAAGGGGCAAAAGACCTGAATAGACACTTCACAAAAGAAGCTATGCAGATGGGAAATAAACATATGAAAAGATACTCAACATCATATATCATTAGAGAAATACAAATTTTAAAAAACATTGAGATACCACTACATACTTATTTGAATGGCCATAATCCAGAACACTGACACCACCAAATGCTGTTGAGGATGTGGAGTAACAGGAACTCTCATTCATCGCTGATAGGATTGCAAAATGGTGCAGCCACTGAGTCAACTATAAGCACAGCATCTGTGGATTACTTGCTGAATCTTAACAGGTGGCCCCAGAGGGACACAGGCTGGAGCTAAACTTGGCCAGCAGGTGAACCCCTCTCAGGATGAACTTAGTGAGAACTTTAAAAAAAGAGATTAAAAAAAAAAAAATATATATATATATATAAATGGAAATAGAAATTATAAAAAGGAACCAATCAGAAATGAAGAACACATTACCTGAGATGAGTATATTAGAGGGAATCAACAGAGTGGATGAAGAAGAGGATCGAACCATCAATAGAGGATGGGAGAGCCAAGGACACCCAATCAGAATGACAAGAAAAAAGTAACCAAGAATACAAAAATAATTTAAGAAGCCTATGGTACAAAATTAAGGGTAACAACATCCGTGTCATAGGGGTACCTGAAGAGGGAGAACAAGAAGTTGAATATATATTTGAAGAAATAATGGTGGAAAACTTCCCTCAGCTGGTGAAGAAAATAGACATACAACCCCAAAAGCTCAGAGTCCCCCAAAAAATGAACCCAAAGAGACCCACACCAAGACACGTCATGATGAAAATGCCAAAGGTTAAATACAAAGAGAGAATCTTAAAAGCAGCAAGAGAAAAGCAGTTAATTATCTATAAGGGAGCTCCCATATGGCTGGAATTTGATTTCTCAAAAGAAACACTGCAGGACAGAAGGGCTTGGCAGAAATACTTAAGTGCTGAAAACCCAGGATCTACAACCAAGAATACTTTATCTGGCAAAGTTATGATTTACAGTCTAAGGACAGATAAAGAGCTTCCCAGACAAAAATAAGCTAAAGGAATTCATCAACACCAAGCCAATATTACAGGAATGTAGGAGAGACTTCTTTAAAAAGAAAAAACATGTATCGAAAACATGAATAAAGAATGGTAATAACTACATATTTATCAACAAGTACCTCAAATGGAAAAGAATTAAGTGCTCCAACCAAAAGATAGGGAAGCTGAATGGATAAGAAAACAAAACCCCTACATATGCTGCCTACAAGAGACTCACTTCAGATTAAAAGACACACAGACTAAAAGGAAGGGGTCGGAAAAAGATATTGTCTTGATGGACCTAGAGAGTATAGCACTGAATGAAGTAAGTCAGATAAAGACAAATATCACATGATTTCACGTACACGTGGAATCTAAAGAACAAAATAAACAGCAGCAGCAAAAATGGTAACAAACTCATAGATACAGAGGATATTTTGAGGGCTACTAGACAGGAGGAGGGTTGGGGGGATGGTGAAAAGAGCAAAGGGATTAAGAAGCACAAATGGATAGACACAAAATAGTCATGGAGATAGAAAGGGTAGCATAAGGAAAATAGTCAACAATGTAAAAACTATGTAAGGGGGAAGATATTATATAGAATAATATTCTATGCCAACTATAATTGAAAAAAACTCATTGATGTGTATGATGTAAATACGAGCAATTAATTATCTATTATACTTCAATAAAGCTGGGGAAAAAATGGGTCAGTCACTTTGGAAGACATTGGCATATTCTTATAAACCTAAATACTCTTACTACACAATCCAGCAACACATTCCTTGATATTTACCTAAAAGAATTAAAAACTTATGTCCACACGAAACCCAGTATATCTGACATGAGGATATATCAATTTGCATTCTATTTGCATCCCTTCCCTTTTGGCAGTGACTGCTAGTTGTCCCCATATCCATATTCCCCCTTCTTCTAGAGAAATAGAATTTTTTTTATCAGGAGCATGTGACTATCCAGAATGAAGACTATATTTCTTATTCTCTTTGCAGCGAAGTGTGGTAATGTGATTAAGTTCCAATCAAGGGGTTGTAAGTGGAAGTATGGCATAGCACTTTTCAGGGTCTTTTCTTAAAAGACAACTGATACAGGCTCTTTTGCTCCTTATTTTTCATCTCCTCTTCTATTGTGCTGCCTAGAATGTACATGTGAAGGCTGGAGCTCTAGCTGCCATCTTGGACCCTGAGGAAAATGAATTAATTCTAGGGATGGCAAAGCTAGATGGAGCCTGGATCTCTGAAGGTATTTTAAGTACAGCCACCACATCGGCGAGGACAGTCCTCAAGAGGGTGTGGCATGCACTGTCAGTGTCCCTTAAAGTGAGCTGGGCTTTTAGCTGCCATCACCTGCATCACTGTGCCTGAGAGCTTTTTTTCTAAAACTGCACAAAGCCTCAGCTACCAGTGTTCTAAGAAAGTCAAAAGTGCTAAGAATCAACACCCTCTGAGATTAATGACTTTTGGGAGTTGGTGTATAAATGCCCCAGCTCCCTTGCCCCTTTGGGATAACTCTGAAGTGTGTATTTTGTGTTGTTTCCCAGGGTTTCCCAATAGTATTAAACTTCAGTTACCCACAGTGGTAACCTGCTTGACAACATTCCCTCTCCAAGTATAGTTCTGACATAAAGCTGAGTTGACAGTTTCACTTATATTCATGAATAAGATGAAAATGAAATAATGAAGTACGTATCTCTTCACTCATTAGTCGATGAGATGAGGAACTTGTTTGCTGAATAAGGTAAGAGTTTCTAATACTGTCACATTTTTGTGCTAATCATAATGTGACAGCTATAGACACGATACACTTAGTTTCATCTGCATTATTAACATTTTCTCTATCACTTTAAGTCTAGACCTGGGTTTGGCAAACTATGTTATTGGAACACAGCCACACCATTATTTATTGTCTGTAGCGGCTCTTGT